GCAGAGGCAGGTGGATCTCTATGAGTTCAAGGCCAGCCTGGTCTACAGAGTGAGTTCCAGGACAGCCAAGACTACAGGGAGAAACCCTGTCTGAAAACAAACAAACAAACAAACAAATAAATAAATAAAGCTCTAATAACATGGTCCCTAGATAATGACACATTCTCTGAAGAAGTCATGGTTGTTAAATGGGACATACCTATGTGCTAACCTATGTGCTAAATGACCAAGAACAAAACCCCCCCTTTCTAATGCCTTGTTTCGCTTTTAAAATATTGCTTATAATGGGGCATAATAGGAAATATATGTGGCCTTTGTCCTCAGGTCCTTGCACACAGCTCTCCTAAAGCCTTTAAATCCTCTGAGGAGTGGGAGTGTCTTGTTTGCAGTGAGCTCCTTAGGACTGACCTTATATCATGCTGATGAGGTGGCTTAGGGTGGGACCCCCTAGACAGCCCTGGATTGGAGCCAATTACCAGGAGGCCCGACTGATTTCAGGACTGGGTATTTTAGCCCTGTTCACTGACTTCTGAGAGGAGAGATTGGCTCGAGATTGAACTATAGGGTAAACCTTTTGAGCCAGGGACGGTGCTACACGCCTTCAATCTCAGTTCTCTGGAGGCAGAGGCAGGTAGATTCTGTGAGTTCTAGCACGGCCAGGTTAGTCTGAGCAGCGAGTTCCAGGCTAGCCAGGGCTACACAGTGAGACTCTGTCTCAGGAGGAAAAAAAAAGCAATAACAAATGCAAACAACCACCAAAAAACCTTTTGAGCAGTTCTGAGATGAGCCTCCAAGCTAGTGGACACCCGTATGCTGAGAGAGGGTTTGCCCCCAGAGTGCTCCTAGGTACCCTCCGTCTGGTTACCTATCTGCAGCCATTCCATCCTCCAACACTAAGCGGCAAATGTGAGATGTTTCCCGCAGTTTTATAAGCCATTATGGAAAAATCAAAGAAATTGAGAAGGAAGTGTTGTGAGAATGACTCACATATTTGTTTGAAATAGGAGAAGCCTGGACATGTGATTTGCGCCAGAAACGAAGGCAGGAGAAGGTTCCAGTGGCGCAATTGATCAGTGTGTAGCACCTACATAAGAATTGAAGGCTGGGGTGGGAGAGACTCTGGAGACTCTCAGCATGTGCCGAGACCCTGATTTCCATCTCCAGCAGAGAGAGAGAGAGAGAAAGAGAGAGAGAGAGAGAGAGAGAGAGAGAGAGAAAGAGAGAGAGAGAGAGAGAGAGGGAGAGCGCATATTTCATAAGAAGAGCCCTTAACTTGTTGGATTTGACTCTTAATAGTTCATATAATAGTTATAATAGGCAGATAATAGTTCAGCAGTGAATGGATTGTAGGATGCCCTTCTAGGGACCACAGAGAAAGAAACCCGCACATCCTATGTCAAACGTGTCCTTGTGAGAACATAGAGGAACTTATGTTTTTATCAGAACATATAAGACAGGGGAGGCCCGAGGCCCTTCCTCAGGCTTGTAACATGTCTATCAGAAGGGGCTTTGAAGACACCAGCGCTTCTCACATGTTGGTATTCAGATAGTTCCTGTTGTTTTAGGTCTAGAGGATCTTGCACCTGGGCCAAAGTCCTGTGGGCAGATCAAGAAAGGGAAGAATGTGGCTTTACTTTGTAAACTGGGAGAAGGGTGGGAATGCCTTGCCTATTAAGCCTTTTTTTTTTTTTTTTTCAGGAAGATTAGTATTATGAAAGAGCACACTGATTACCACACCCAGACGTGCCTTGGAAGGCTTTGGGTTCCCTGGAGGATAAGAGTGCTCAGTCTGGAAACTGCTTCGGTTTTTACAATAACCAAAGTCCTGTCCATGTTTGTTTGTTTATATCTTTGATATGATATTTCTTTGCAAAGTCTGTTTGATAGTGCGATGTGTACCAACATTGTAAGTTTTTAGCCTGGGTTCTAATTGGGGGGAGCATAAGTCGTTTCCAGTCTTCTCTGTGACTAGAAATCACATGGCAAAGATTTTCATACACCCTTTGGTGCACTGTGGGAGAATGTGTGGTAATGAAATCTTAGAGGTGGGGCTTCTGGGTCAGAGCAGTGGTGTTTGCAATGTTGACAATGTTAGGGTTTGGATATGAAGAGTCCCTCACAAGCTCAGATGTTGACTGCTTAGTCCAAAGCTGGTGGTCCTATTTTGGGAGGTTCTGGAAACATTAGGAGGTGGGACCTAGCTGGAGGAAGAAGGTCACTGTATGTGTCCTTGGGGGCTGGGGCTGGCTCAGAGTCCTTCCCCTTCCCTCTCACTGTTTCCTGTCTTCTAAGATGTGAAGAAGCTCTCTACCATACCTTCCCACCACCATAGTGTTCTGCCCAAGTGCCTGGGGCTGAGCAAGAGACCACATGCAGAACAGTGCCTTCCCTTTCTGGTGGTTTTGAGGCGAGATCTTGCTATCTAGCCCAGGCTTACTTCAAATTCATTAAGTAGCTCAGACTGGCCTTGAACTTGCTGTAATCCCATCTCTGCCTCCCAAGTCTGGGATTACAGCCTGGGATCTTGCCTTGTTCTCTCAGCTAGCTTGGTCAAAGCCATACAAGAGAAACTAGGGGTGGTACCAGGGATGAGGGCACTGCGACTACCTGAAAAATGTCACTCTTAAGTCTTTGGAACTGGTTCGTGAGAGACCTTTGAGTTTGGGGAAGCAGGTTAGTAAGCCTAGGATTTGGTTGTCAAAGTACAGTGCCTAATTCTGATGAATGCTCAAAAGACCACCATGCTGATAAAAAGAGACAGTATAGACGTGTTCAGAAGGTTTCAGGCAGAAGCGAGGGCTCTGTCAGGAATTGGATTGTAAGTCATCTGCATTCTGTCTGACAGATACTTTGTATTCTGAGATTGAGGCTGGATTTAAAAGTAATGGTCTAATTGATTTGATGGAGGAAATGTCAAGATGGCAGAGATATTGCTGGATGCTTTTGAACAGGAAACAAAAAAAAAAGCATAGAAGGATTTGAAAATGTGCAGTCTGACCAGAAAAGGAATGAATTGAAATTTGTGGACAAGGAAGATGCGGTTGTTAAAGAGATTAGTGCCGTGAGAAACAAAGCCACACACACGCACACACACACACACACACACACACACACACACACACACACACACACACCAAACAAAACCAAACAAAACAAAAACAAACTGAAGCCCCACACTTTTCACTGAGACAGTAGGAATGATGCCCTGATTTATCGCAGGACTGGAATAGACCTCGCCCGTTCCTCCCTGCCCCGCATTCCCCCTCTCCAACCCCAGTTTTATTTCAACTGGAAAACTGCTTTCAGAAGACAGCTAAGCTTGGGGCCCCAGCTTCACAGACAGCAGTACCCCAGCCCACTGTCCTCTGTAAAGACTATACCTATTATTTACCCTCCCACCATGGTGAACGAGAGTGCCCGCTCCCCTCCCTCTGGCCAACACAGTGATCTAAATCTTTTCGTCTTTGCCAAGAGGAGGGGTGCCTCTCGCCTGAGTTCTGTTTCCGGCTTCTCTCAGTACGTGGTGTGTGGTGTGTGGTCCACCATCTTCGTTTGCGGACATTCTGTAATTCCCTCTCTGGCAAGGGTCTGTGTGTGCCTTTTGTCTTTTTTCTGTTGACTTGGCCCTTTTCTCGAATTGTATCAGCATCTGCTGAGGAGATTGGCTGCTTGTCTGTTAGAAGGACCATGAATACTTGATCTCAGACTGTCGCTGGAATTCTGTCTTTGGCTCTCTCTCTCTCTCTCTCTCTCTCTCTCTCTCTCTCTCTCTCTCTCTCTCTCTCTGTGTGTGTGTGTGTGTGTGTGTGTGTGTGTGTGTGTGTGTGTGTGTGTGTGTGTTGTGCAGAGATTCTTAATTTTCAAATAGTCAACTGTATCCCATCATCTTTTACAGCTTATAAATGTCAGGTCACTCTTAGAAAAATTTATTCTGAAATTACTCCTTTCCCATCACCTCCCCCCCAATTATTTAAAAATTCTTGGTTCATCTGGAATTTACTTTGATGCAGAGTGAGACACCCTGTGGTCCCAAGGCTGTGTGTGAGTGCATGTCCTTCTCTACTGATAGAAAATCCCCCTTTAGAGCATGTAGGCCTTCAGCACCTACTTATGTTGAAGACTTTCAGAATTTTCTGGATGTTCTGTGCAGGGGCATGAGTGGGGACACATGCATTCCGCAGCACTGGTGTGGCAATAAGAGGACACCTTTCAGGAGTCAGCTCTCGCCTTCCACCTTGCTGAAGCAAGGTGACTCTCAGTGGCTGGTTAGCCTGGGCTAACTAGTCTATGAACTTGTGAATGATTTTCCTGTCTTTGCCTCCATCTACCATAGAAGTGCTGAGATGACAGATGCTAAAAAGTGTGTGTGTGTGTGTGTGTGTTCATGCATGTTCGTGTGTGTGCAAGTTCATGTGTGTGTGTATGTATGCATCTGTATGTAGCTAGAAGGCAGAGAACAACCGGGAATATTGTTTTCAGGAGCCATCTACCTTGGTTTTTGAGATTGGGTCTCTCATTGGCCTTGAGCTCAACAAGGCTAGGCTGACTGGCCCGTGAGCCAACTATCTCCATGTCCCCAGTGCCCGGAGCTCTGTCATGTCTGGCTTTTTTTTTAATGTGGTTTCTGGGAATCAAACTCAGGTCCCCTTGTGCTTAAACTATCATTAGTACATGTTTTGTTCAAAACTTAAACACTGTATCACTTTGCTACTCAAGTCCTAGAGTTTATAACTGAAATACTTCAAATATTATGCTTTTTGTATGCAGATATATAAAATAAAAACAGTATTTTCTCTTGTGTTTTCGGTGCTAAAATAAAAGTGAAACATATATCGTGACTTGTGTGCCATTCCATTTGGACACAGCTTCATGCTTTTCAATGTGAGAGACCTCTAAGGTGGCAAGTGTCCCAGGGCTCTGTTGAGAGCAGCGGGAGCTGTGGGTGGAGCCTCCACCCTCTGGGCCCCAGGCTGCGGAGGGGTAACCCCGCCTTGACTCACATAACAATTTCCTTCCGTGTCTGCTCCAGCATCATGTACTGGGTCCACTCCTGGGTACTCTCGTATGTCTTTGACTGATCCACAATCTTCTGGAACATTGTCCTTTTCCTGAAACACACACTAGTTTATTAAAGAGATCAAGTCTAAGAGTGAGGCGGCAGCTGGGCTGCTAACATGGGCTGTTCCAGATCGGGAAGTCAGTAAATTCACATAGTTAACAAAACAACATGGAAAAAGCTTGGACTAAAGACTTCGTTCTAGACTAGATGTCCCTGATCTATGTGATTTTAGCAAATCTGTTTCCCTGGAGGTTGGGTGTAAGAGTATCTACCTTACAGGGATGACATGTTAGACCTGACCCAGAACAAAGATCAGTAGGAACTATGGCATTTGCTACTATAATCATTGTTAACATTGAAGTGAGGAGAAATACCTACTTGAAATACAAGGCCAGGTCTGTGGCAATGATTGCAATGTCCATCATGTGGATTGCGTGTTCATGCTGCCGGCGATTCAGGTTCTGAAAGATATTCAAGCTCTAAAGAAAAGAATTAGACACGTTTTGAGAAACGGCGCTGGTAGTAAAGTCCCTCTTCTTCTGGTGGCCACCCTAAATGATGACAGACAATGACAGCCTCGGCCAAGGGCAAAAAGGACGCCTGTGCTCATGAAGGCTTCCTGTGAGACCAGGGTCATCCTACCTCCTCTCTCAGCAATGTTTTGCCAAACTCCAAATGATGCCTTTCCAAGATGGAGGACCCATGGAGCTTGGCCAGTGGGTTCTGTGATCTAAATGAGAGAGGGAGGGAGAGAGGGAGAGAGAGAGAGAGAGAGAGAGAGAGAGAGAGAGAGAGAGAGAGAGAGAGAGAGAGAGAATGAATATCCAACATACAATGGCCAAGATGGAGACTAAAGATATTATAACCCAGTCCCGCCATCTTCTAATTCTGTAGGCAGATGCCGATGGGGAGGGAGTAGGAAGGGTCTTGCACAAAATAAAAAGGAAACAGTGGAAGATGAGGAGCAGATGTCAAATATCCTAACTTTTCCTTTGCCTTTCTTCACAAGCAACTGAGAGCCTCTTCTGGGTCATGGACTCTTTAGACATTGTTAGCTCAGAAAAGAACACAAGCATATGCACACACACACACACACACACACGGGCACACGGGCACACACACACACAGAGGACCTTGTTTTTGAAGATAGCCAAGTTTTAGGGGAAAGTCAATGAATTCCCACGAGAAAGAAATATTTGTTCTTTTTTTGTAATTCAATAAATATTTGTTGAACACTTACAATGCTATGCCTAGTACTCAAAGTCCACAGTGTAAACTGTAACATGATCCTTAGAGCATGAGAAGGGTAGTGAGAAGATGTGGGGAAGCATGAATTCTAGTGCTCTGAATGTTTTACAAGCCATGGGCCCTGGAATCTAGTGGAGTCTCAGTGTTCTCGAGTAGCATGAGTGAGCTGATTAGTTTTTTTGGATTTTTTTTGTCTGGTTTTTTTTTTGTTGTCAACTTGACACATGCCAGGTCATCTGGGAAGAGGGAACCTCAACTGAGAAAATGACTCCATCAGATTGGCCTGTAGGCAAGTCTGTGGGGCGTTTTCTTGATTAATTATTAATGTGGGTGGGCCCAGCCACTGGGGTAGTACCACCCCTAGGCAGGTGATTCCAGGAGGTATAAGAAAGGTAGTTGAATGGAAGCCTGAGGAACATACCAGTGAGCAGCACTCTTCCATGGCCTAATAGAAGCGGGTTAATTGAAGTTGTAAGAGCTAGTTAGTGATAAGCCTGAGCTATCGGCCAAGTATTTATGGATAATTTTGAGTCTCTATGTTGGTTATTTGGGAACTGGCAGGCAGGAAAGAAAAGTCCACCTACAGTTCTTGCCTCCAGGTTCCTGCCTTGCATTCTTGCCCTGACTTCCCTCAGTGATGGATGATAAGCTATAGATGAAATAACCCCTTTTCTCCTCCAAGTTGCTTTTGGTCATGGTGGCTATCACAGCACCAGAAACCTACTTAAGACACTGAGGTAACACCTGTGGTCTATCCAGCTCAAAGCTTATCATGAAGTTTCAATGAGACTGTTCTTCAAGGACAATGCCTCAGAGGCCAACTGGAATGTACAATTTGGTTAAGATGGGGGCTGTCTTTTTTTTTTGTCATCATCATGATCATTATTATTATGATTATTAGTCTTTTTTTAAAAATACAGCTCATCACCCCAGGAGCATTACAAATGCAAGGTGAATGAATGAACTTTCATAATGACTAACGTGTTGGCTGAAATTAGTTCCACACACAAGACAGAGAACCGGGAAGAGTGAAAGAGTATACAGTTATAATGTCCTGTTGCTACAGTAACAAAACGTCACTGGCTTACTGGTGTAAAACAGTACATTGTAGCTCCTTTGAGCCTTGGAGTTCAGCTGGCTAATGTAGGGCCCCGGGTGCTCTCCTTCTGGAGGCCCTGGAAGAGAGAGTCTGTCTTCGAGTTCTTCCCATCTTCTAGAGACCACTTGCTTTCCTTGCTGGCTGGTAGGCCCTTCTGACATCTTCAAAGGCAGCAGATGGAGCCTTAGCTCTTCCTAACTCCCTGCCTCCTTCTCACCAGGACCCTTCTGACTGCAGGAGCCCTGCACGTCATTCTGGTTCGCATCCCAAGCTTCTCGACTCAGCCACAGCCGAAAAGTCCCTTTTGAGTGCCAGTCAACATTGCCAGGCCCCTGGATTTGGGATGTGGACATCTTTGGGAAATCATTATTCCATTTACATTAGGACTAAACCTAGATCCTAAGTGCAAGGAAAGTGGGAGGCTGTGGAGAGAGAGGCTTTTCCCTGGGAAGCCAGCCCAGGGATTATACATATCTGGGTAATGAGTCTGGGGGGAGGGGAGAGACGGGAGTGGGGGTGGGAGTGGGGTGCAGTGGTAAGAGCTGACTCACTTCATCTGGTAGAGGTTATTTGTGCCTCTGTGGTCGATGTCATGACAGAAGGCAGCAGTGACCATGGCCAAGGCCTCCAGATCAGTGAAGTACCGCTTCAGCTTTCCTGTCTGGAAGGATATTAGAGGTATAAGTCACTACCGTTTAGTGGGATGGAAGCAAGGCAGAGAGACAGGTGGACAGGGCAAGGATGGAGCCTCCACATGTAAGTCTGCTGCCTTGTCTTCACTTTTGAGGCGGTGTCTCGTGTATCCCAGGCTTGCTTAGAACTCACTAAAAATTTTTGCTATACTGATTTCTCTCTCTCTCTCTCTCTCTCTCTCTTTGTGTGTGTGTGTGTGTGTGTGTGTGTGTGTGTGTGTGTGTGTGTGTGTGTGTGTGTGTGTGTGTGTTTGCCTATATGTGCCACAACACATATGTGGAGGTCAAAGGACAACTTTTGGGAGCTGGTTCTCTCTCTCTCTCCCAATAGTCCATGGGGAGAGGACACAACTCACCAGGCTTAGCAGCAAGCGCCTCTACCCACTAAGCCATCTTGTAGGTCCTGACCTAGAACTCTCTGTGTGGCTGAAGATGACCTTGAATGTCTGGTCCTCCTGCTTCCACTCCTGAGGGCTGAAATTACAGGCACGGGCCACCATGCACAGTTGGGGGACGAAACCCAGGGATCTGTACGTGTTAGGCCAGCACTCTACCAAGCGAACTATGTCCCCAGCCAGGTCTGATCTCATTCTGTTTCCAGCTTCACGGGGCGACCGGTGCTCCACTCAGGCTGTAGAGTTTCAGTACCGAACTGAGACAATTCCAGGTAAACAGGGACGCTGAGCAGCCGAGTCCCAGGTCATCCTAATCGGACCTCTGTAGCTGTGCCCTGGAAGTGGCGGGGGTTGGATGTAATGATCACTGAAAACCTTGCAGCCATTATGTCACCGTGAAGTCTTTGAACATGGCCAGACTTGTAGAGCTGCCTTTCCAAACCTGGTCTACCAGTCAAGGTACACCCAGGATTCTTCTCTGGGGATGCTTCAAATATCTCAGTGTTGTTTGTGCTGAGGTTGATGTGAAGGTAGGGAGAACTCTGTAGAGCTGACACTGACCCCATGAAGGAAGCCAAATTGCCAGGTGTGGTGATGCCTGCATGCCTATGATGATGGAGGCGGGAAGATCAGTAGTTCTAGGTCATCTTCAAGCTACAGAGAGAGCTTAAGGCAAGCCTGAGTGACATGAGACCTTGTATCAACACATACATACACACTAAACACACACACAAGAGAGACACATACACACACAGACACAGACACAGACACACACACACACACACACACACACACACACACACACACACACGCACACGCACACACAGGTAGGGGGTAGGGGGAGACAGAAGAAAAGGGAAAGGAAGAAAAGCCAAATTTAAGATTGCTGGCATCACTCTCTGTGGCCTAGCTAGAACTCCTGCTCCCAAGTCCTAGTATATAGGTGTTGCTGGTCACAAGGGGCAGGAATGTAGACAAGGAGCTTAAGTGGTATGGAGAAACACTTTCCATGAGCTATGACGATCTCTGAAATTTCTGAGTAAAAAAATATTGACACAAGCATACCAAGGCCACCCAAAGACATTGTAGCAATGTTGGTCATAGTAAAAGATTAAAAAACAACCTTCATATTCAACAATAGGGTGTTGGATAAAGAAATTATAGTACAGCAATTACAATCAGCCCTCTGTATGTATGGGCTCCATATCTGTGGGTCTAACCAGTTGTGGACCCAAAAGATATTTTTTAATTGACTTCAAGGTTGAACTGAGCTACATTCCAAGACCCTATCTCAAACAAGAATATACAGGGACTTGAATCATACACAAAGTTTTGGTATGAGGAGGTGTCCTAGAACAAACCCCCTCTGCACAGACAGATTGCAAAGGACAAGTGTTTGGTGCAGCAGTAAAAACTTAATTAGATGCACCTTGTAGACACTATGCTAAGTTAAATAAGTTAGACACAGAACAAATGCTTTATGATTCTACTTATAACAGTGTCTAGAGCGGTCAAGTTTATAGAGAGAGAAGGTTAAGTGGTGTTGCCTAGGGGCTAGGAGAAACTGGCATTATTGTTTGATGGGTACAGAGCTACTGTTTGAGAAGGTGAATGGCCCAGAGACGATCATGGCAAACACAGCACAACATTGTGAATGTACTTAATGTCCCTGGATTGTACATCTAAAAATGACTTCAGTGGTAACTTTTATGTTTCATATAGTAGAAGATGTGTTTTATATGGGTATGTGTTTATATATTAAAAGAATCTTGGGGCTGCAGAGATGGCTCAGCAGATAAAAATTCTGGCTGCTCTTCTACAAGACCCAGGTTCAATTCCCAGCACCCACATGGTGGTTCACAATAGTATAAAACTCCAGCTCCAGGGGAATCTGATGATTTCTTCAAGTCCCTTCAGGCATTGAATACATATGGTGCACTGTGCAGACAAAATATTCATCCACAGAAAATAAAAATAAATTTTAAAAAATCTGGTATGGGGGCTGGAGAGATGGCTCAATGGTTAAGAGCATTGGCTGTTCTTCCAGGTTCAAGTCCCAGTACCCACATGGCAGCTCACAACTGTCTGTAAGTTCAGATCTCCAGGATCTGACACCTTCACACCAATGAATATAAAATAAAGTTAAAATAAATTTTAAAAAATCTGGTTAACGGATATAATGGAAGAACATAACAATGTATGGTATATATTTTTTCAAATAGATAGATAGATAGATAGATAGATAGATAGATAGATAGATAGATAGATTATTCCATTGGTCATAAAAATAAATGGCATGTATGCTGTGTGTGTGTGTGTATATATGTGTGTGTGTCTGTTATACAAAAAAAGAAAATTTGGTAAGATTTATACACCTGTGTATTCTTGGAATTTTGTTGTTGTTTGTGTTTTGAGAGAGCCTTGCTAGGTGGTGGAGGCTAACCTGCTCTGGCCTCCTGCGTGTCCTGATTACAGGCATGCCCCACCACACCCGGCTTTTTCATGGAGCTCTTTTTATGCTTGTATTACTTCTGCAATTCTTTTCTTGTCCCCCCAGTAGTAGGAATTGAACCTCCTAGGCAAGTACTCTCTTACTAAACTACGTTCCCAGAAAGAATTACACAATTCTTAAAAGTCAATACATAAAAATGGCCTTGCTGGGACTGCCCCACCCTACAACCCTCCGTACCACCAGCAAGGAGAACATGGTCTGCCCCACGTTGAAGCCGTGCCGCCAATTGTGGTAAGTGATCCTCCGGTAGCCCTTGCTCAGTGAGTACATGAAGCGCACCAGGGCCTGTGAACATACATGTCAGTGAGGCAGCATGCACCTGCCCAGGTGGCCAGGACCTCCCTCGGGAGACCCAAGGTCCTCCGACCCCATCAGTGACCCAGACAGTGCAAAGGAGCCACAGATGAAGAAGCGCTAGGAAAGTCATCTACTGCTGGACACTATGACAGCAGGTGTTAGAGACAGGCAACCATGAGCTTCCCACATCCTTCACAGACTGAGCTTCATCCGTGATCCCTAAGAGTGCCTGGGGTGCAACTGTCCGGGGAGAAAGGACTGTTTAATCCCATCGTTCTCAAGTGGGAGTGTACTTCAGAATCACTGGAGGTCCTGTTAGGGTCAGATTTCTTAGAGCTGATAGCATGCTCTATGTCTGGGACCGTGGGATGTATGGGTGTGTAAAGCATCTCGACAGTGTTTGGGGCAGGACTGATGTGGTCTGGGCAGATACTTTGAAAACCACTACCTTCAAAGTCTAGAAGGTTTTGTGCACCCTTTCCTTCACACACACTCTCCCACAGTGTACCTTTGTAAGGAATCCTGCAGTGAAAGAGGCCTGTTTCCATGAACTTAGCGAATATCTCCCACCCACGCGAGAACTTCAGGACCTTGATCCAGAAGAGCAGTGAGTGCCTTCTCTAACAGAGACCCAGACAAGCCCTAGGCACATTCTCTGAATCCCAAATGCAGAGCACACACTCTTCCCACATGCTCTATAGACCAAGCTGCTCTTTTAAAGTCAAGGAGGGACGAGGGTGGGGGGTGGGGTGGGATGGGGGAGTGATCTGGATGTAGTAGCTCCCACCTGGAGTCCCAGCACACCGGAGGCTGAGGCAGGACCAACAGCCACATGTTCAAGACCAGACTAGACTACACGATGAACTCTGAGCTAGAAGGGGCTGCAGAGTGCGGACTGGTGGCGAGGGGCCCCGGGCCTCACCTCTTGTGGGATGTGGAACTTGTCCACCACTCGGAGCTCGTAGTACATCTGTATGCCGCACTTCACCAGCTCAAGCTCCGTGAGGGGCAGGTCGCTGAAGTGGAACTTGTTGATTTCATATTTCTCAGCGTCTGGAAGTTCTCCTTGCTGGATGGGAGCGGGGTCCAGTGATTGAGGGGCACAGTGTGTTCCTGGGCCCCGCCCCCAGGTCTGCCGAGAGAAGCCAAGCAGGGTGAAGGGATGCCCAAACCCTGTTGCACCAGGGTCAAGCTGCTCACCAGGATCTCAGCCAGCTCCTCCTCCTCACATTCCCACGGCTCTTTCCCATACACCTCTCTGGTTTTCTGCCGTGAACAAAAACAGCAGAGAAAATGCAATAGGTTATTTGTCTCAGGAGCCCAAGGAGACCTCCACATCCCATTTCTGCTTTGCTCTTTCCTCCAGCAGAAGCGCCCATTCAGAGACTGCTGTTTGGCATTTATTGACGAATCAGTCCTGGGCTTCAGAGCCATGGAGGCCTATATTCAAATTCAGGCTGTGAAACCGGGCGGTGGTGGCGCACGCCTTTAATCCCAGCACTTGGGAGGCAGAGGCAAGTGGATCGCTGTGAGTTTGAGGCCAGCTTGGTCTACAGAGCGAGACCCAGGACATCTAGGACTGTCACACAGAGACTCTGTCTCGAAAAACCAAAACAAACAAACAAACAAACCAAAAAAAAAATTCAGGCTATGAATAGAAAAAACACTTTCCAGCTGTGTTACCAAATGCCTTTGAATCTTAATTCTGCCATCTATTAAGTGGGAATAATCAAAG